ACCATTCTATCCATAAAACAGGAACCATAACACTATAAAATACTTTGCTGCTATGGTAGTACTATGCATGGCAAAACGATGTACAGAAGAGATCGGTAAAAATTTATAGAACTTCAGGAGTTGGTGATGATTGCTGAAGGGTATATTTACTTTTAAATTACAACATAACTAAAAGTAGCATCAAAAACGTGTATTTACATGGTAATGGCCATGGACTACTGCTGAGCATATCATTTGTGGTTCTATCCAGGGAAGAACAAGAGATGTTGGCACACAACCGCCAGACCGACCAACTCCCCCCCCCCCCCCTCCCCCTAGTTCTGTCTTAATACCCCCGCCCCTTTTCAACAGGTACTACCATCTGCCTTCCGTAATGAAAAATTCCACCAAGCATAATCATTAGCATATTCATAATTATTATGTCAAATAACCCTTTTGTGTCAAGTTTTAGCAAATTTTGAGGGTTCCCGGTAATGGACCATTCAAGTGAATTGGTCATTGTCAAACGTGATTGACTATTCTTTAGAGTGAATAGCTAATTCTTTTTGTACTATATACAAAGCATTGCTCCATATTTATCCATATTATGAATCCTTCTTCAAATAACCATCAAACTATGGAAGTAGAAGCAGGCCAAAACTTTGTCCCATTTTCGCTTTAGATGGCTTACACCAACTTTTACTCAGAGCAAAAAAGACGATTTGAGTTTAAATTATTTCCGTAAAAACTGCTAGATTCGAACTATCGAACTGTTTGTATTATGCTCGCTAAATTCTCTCTGGAGGCAAGTTAATGGGATGTGGCACAAACCTAGAATAGCTGTGGCTGCCACACCTTTTTAGGGGTCGTGCCACACCCTATTAACTTACCTTTTAAGCATTCAAACACCTGCTTTTTTAATGATTGCTAGTGCGAGACCTTCTTTTCCACATAGCAGAAATCTCATTCGAAATTGTTTCCTCAGGGGAAGATATAATCGTTTTCCTTACCTACGCAGATGAATACTGTGAAAAAATGGAATACGGTAACGTGCCAATACTGCGCCACTACGTGGCGAAGGAAGGCGGCAAAAACAAATCGATAGCCTGTCTCTCGTAATTTTCACAAAAGAGATTTGAGCAGAGGTGCGATAGGTGGAGCCGGGCCCCCAAAAGTGAAGGTGGTTTCAGCTACCCACTGGCCGGCCAAAAGTGAAGGTGGTAGTGCCGGACACTCACCTCCCAAAAACGTCGACCGGGGGGGGGGGGACTTCGGATAATTGAAGAACTCTGACCCAACGGTCTTCTTGAGGGCCAACAAGTGTGACCTAACGGCCCTCTTTAGGGCCACAAATACGATGAGTATAGCGGCATAAAAATAAAATAAAAAGAAATAAATATGTTATTCAAATGGTCTATTTGTAAGTAAATCCCAGTAAGACTTTACATATTTCATTAAGTAGATTTTGTTATAACGTACTGCGAATAAAGTAGGTCGATCCAGGCAGTAACCACCGAGAACCAGAATTTCAAATAATAAAATAGCGAAAAATCATGCGAAATTTCCACTGTTATAAATCTGATGGTTGAAGATGTCAGCAGCTGCGACTTCATAGGTTTTGAAGGGCTAGTGTTGTTCTACCAGCCAGTGAAAGAATTAGATCGATCTGAGCAGTACTCGCCGAGAGCGAGAATTTTAAAAAAATTAAGCGATTTTAGGTTGCTTAGTGACAGCTGACGTTTAAACTCCTATAAATCTGGAATGTGAAAATATGCAATGTTGCGACTTCATAGGTTTTGTGGAGTAAGGATTGCTCTACCGGAGTATGCCTTAGCCGTACCGATCCATTGAAATAGCGCCGAGATCCAGGGTCTTGGAAAAGCAGGTAAAAAACCGCTTTTTGAACTTCAACAGCTCATAACTTCTTCAGAATTGCATGAATCATGTTGCGACTTCATAGGTTTGATTCTTCTCATCAAGAGCTTTCAGATGATATATAATATGTGGGGGACTCGCGCCTTTCACGGCATATGCCCGGGGGTGGAGACTTTTCACCCCAAAGTCTCCACTGGCGGTCTCCGGCCAATACATTAACATGGGCGAGGTGGAGACTTTGGGGTGAAAAGTCTCCACCCTGGGTTAGAGCCGCAAAAATCATTGAACCCCCCACATACTATATATCATCTGAAAGCTCTTGATGAGAAGAATCAAACCTATGAAGTCGATGAAGCATGATTCATGCAATTCTGAAGAAGTTATGCGCTGTTGAATTTCAAAAAGCGGTTTTTTACCTGCTTTTCCAAGACCCTGGATCTCGGCGCTATTTCAATGGATCGGTACGGCTAAGGCATACTCCGGTAGAGCAATCCTTACTCCACAAAACCTATGAAGTCGCAACATTGCATATTTTCACATTCCAGATTTATAGGAGTTTAAACGTCAGCTGTCACTAAGCAACCTAAAATCGCTTAATTTTTTAAAATTCTCGTTCCCACTGCTCAAATCGACTCGATTCTTCCACTATCTGGTAGAACAACACTTGCTCTTCAAAACCTATGAAGTCGCAATTGCTGACATCTTCGACCACCAGATTTATAACAGTGGAAATTTCGCATGATTTTTTCGCTATTTTATCATTTGAAAATCTGGTTCTCGGCGGTTACTGCCTAGATTGACCTACTACATGGATATATGCTCTCAATACTTTCTTTTTCGTTTCTTTTGCTCATTTTCTTTCTTTTAATCTTCAGCAAGAAAATTTTTTCAAACCCAAAAGTGAAGGTGGTCACCCGGTACCAGCTCAAAAGTGAAGGTAGGCGGAGACTCGGCTCCAACTATCGCACCTCTGGATTTGAGCCTGATTGGTTTACTCTAATGTGAGAGTATGGAAAGCGAGAAATGGGACAAACGAGGGTGCCCCTTAATTCCGCCTGGGGCCATTAAGAGTGGATTCTTTATGTGAGCAAAAAAGTAGTAGTACTTTACAAAGTGCAAAAAGAAGTATTCAACTCATCTTTGAAACAAAGTCAGGATGCTCAAAGATAACCATCTTACTTGGCTGGCTTAGTATTAGGCCCGTATGCACGTACATCCCCGCTGGGGAGGGGAGGGGATCTGAGAGGGGATGCGCCATATCTCGCTACTTTACGTATCTTTCTTCTTCCTTTTCTATCTTGCTTATGAAGGTTCTCATACCCTACTACATGCGCATAATCGATCCCAGGTTACTGGCATAACTGATTAAATTTGTACTATTTTGTGTGATCCCCTGGGGATCCCCAGGGGATCCCCAGGGGATCACCCCTCATTTTCAAAGTCATTTATCTTTCTGAGAAACCAATGGAAACGCCGCAAAATTGTACTGAAGATATACTACGGCACTGCTAAGCATGTTTTCGACAGAAAAAATGGAATCTGAAGATTGTGAAATTTTCGATGATCCCTAGCTTTTGAGCCAGGGATTACCGAAGATTTCGATATCCTGGGATTTCACTTATTTTTACTTTAAACATGCTTAGCAGTACCGTTGTATATCCTCAGTACAATTTTGCGGCGTTTTTATTGATTCCTCAGGAAGATAAATGACTTTGAAAATCACACAAAATAGTACAAATCTAATCAGTTATGCCAGTAACCTGGGATCGATTATGCGCAGGTAGTAGGGTATGAGAACCTTCATAAGCAAAATAGAAAAGGAAGAAGAAAGATACGTAAAGTAGCGAAATATGACGCATCCCCTCTCAGATCCCCTCCCCTCCCCAGCGGGGATGTACGTGCATACGGGCCTTAGGAATTTTGAAAACTTGCTGAAACTTGGCCACAGGAGTTATTTGACATGACAATTACGAAAAAGCTAGTCTAATGCCTTCAGGGTTCTTTCATTATGCTTACTGTACGATACGGGCTCAAACATCAATGTTGTACTTTGCATATGGGTTTAACTTACATTCTTGACGGATGTTATGTCGCTAACATTACCGTCACCCCACAAACGACCCCCCCCCTCTCCCTGACCCCTAACACGACCCCGAGGTGTGGTGCGCCACAGCCCACGCTTGACCCTGGTTCTATCCCTCGCTTGTGTCATCCAAGATCTTCTTGTTGGTGGCAATGTCCCGTTCGAGTATCAGGCCTAAGGCGCACGAACTGGAATCACGAACGCGCAGCGACTGGAATCGCGCGCATACCTCATGCGATTCCAGTCGCTGCGCGATTTGGTACAAGATTGAAGTTCATAATGGGTCGTTAGAGCTTTGTCAAGGCAAGACTTGATCGGTTTGCAACAAATCACAGAAGCTACGCCCATCTATTGGAGGAACGCGCACGATAAATTTGGAGACATCTGGGAAACTGCCAGGTCACATGAATGCCGCGATTTAGTCGAATCGCGCGAGGTATGGGTAAGCCTTAAACCTTAGAGATGCAGAAGTTCTGTTTTATTGCATTTATTGCGTAATAAATGTTACTTAGTTAGCTAAAACGTCGAGCGAGGGGTATACTATCCGTAAGCTAAAACATCGAGAGAGGGTACTATCCGAAATTGTATTCGAAGCAATATACCCTTTAACTCAACTGATTGGCAACTGGAAGGCGGACTTCGTGACCTAATTAATTCTAAAAAATGATTAGAGGGCACGTTCGCGGGAAAGACGCAGACTGCGTTGCGGATAAGAGCGATCTCCTTTCGGCCGCCAACCTCTTTGAATCGAAGGGTATGCACACCAGTAAGTCCTCTGTAACAACATGTACGCCTATACTGTGTAATTTTTGTCTAACCTGCAAATACCTAAAAATGTTACGATACATTCAAGACAAGGAAAAGGGAAAATCAATTAACAAGATTAAATCATATAAATTACAGAAAAATTTGCGAATCTCATACGTGAAGCTCAATATTTCGAAGTGAGAGTGCAAGGCTACTTATCATCTTCATCAGTTGACTTATTATTTGCTTACTTGGAAGCTCGAGCGCATGGAAATCGTCATCTTCGCAAACTCGCAGTGGTTGGATGGCGCATGTATCAATTTTGAACTCTTTTAAGAGCAATGCTGAGTTCTTTAGCAGTCCTTATGCTACCTACGGTAGTTATGCAAAGAGGTAGTTCCTGAAAGCTTTGGCATTGGTTAAAAATATCATGGTTTAGTACAAAAACGCTTCACCAAGTCTCCTCCTGGTCGAAGCTCGTATTCACGAAGAATGCGTACCAGAGCCACTTTCATCTGCATTTGTGCTACCCGCATTCCAATACAATTTCGAGGTCCATAGCCGAATGGTACGAAAGTGAGTGGATCTCGTAGCGAGCGATTCTCCATTGTCCATCTTTACTGTAATCATCATAGGATCTTTGAGGCACCTTCGAAGTCACCATTGTTTCAAACCTCTCAGGATCGAACTCCATCGGCGAGGTATACAATACCGCTCATAATTCGTCAAAAAAGTCGCTGGACTGCGGCGCACTCCGCCACACTCCGCCACAGTGCGCCGGAGTGTGGCAGAGTGCGCCGGAGTGTGGCAGAGTGCGCCGGAGTGCGGCAGAGTGCGCCACACTCCGCCGCAGTGCGCCGGAATGATCGTCAATTTAGAAATATCTCGCTTCAGAATGGACGAATTCTGAATCCGAGGACACCGTTCGATTCAGCTCGACGAGACGCATCATCTTATACTCAGACAATCGCCGGGGGCAGGCGGGCACCGGAAAGATAGATTGCTGATCTCTCGCACCCCGCTCGCGGATTTTTTGGAAAGCAATCAGGACTTTTCGGAAGACCGCTTGCTGAGTTCTCGATTCCTCAGAGATTCAGCAATATATTCGCAAAAGATAAAAGCGAAAAAAAAATTCAACAGGCGGTCTCTCAAAAATCCGCAGACTCAGCAAGCGGCCTTCCAAAAAGTCCTGATTGCTTTCCAAAAAATCCGCGAGCGGGGTGCGAGAAATCAGCAATCTATTTTTCCGGTGCCCGCCTGCCCCCAGCGATTATCTGAGTATATGAAGCTGAACGTCTGTTTGTCTGTTTGTCTGTACGTATGTTCCGAATAGAAAAATCTATTTCTGAACCGATCCGGACCAAACTTGGCACACATACACTTCGGGCCCCAATGAGTGTCATGGGCTACTTTTCGTCATCGATCGATATCGATTTTATCGATTTTTTTGCAGAGTTCACCTACGGGGCTGGGAGTTTAGTGGGGTAATCGAGCATGGGGATTCCGAATACAATATTAGTTCTCGGGATTATCGATTCTTTTATCGATTTTGTCGATTTTTTTTGCAAAGTTTGAGCTACGGGGCTGGGAGTTTGCACAATCACAGTGGAGTTATTGAGCGGAGCGAACATAATATCCGCAATGCGAGTGTCATACAAGCACTCATGGTGGAATTTCGACAAAATTTGCGATCTTTACATTTTGAGCAAAATTCATGAGAACGTGTTTTCATAGGCTCGTAACTCGGCGAATTTTATAGACTGGAGCCTGAGTCTTGCGCCATTCGATAGCACATCTCCTAGTAACTTTGACTAGTAAAGCAAGCAGGCAGGTTCTTTGACAGACACGTGAGAGGTGGAAGCAAAATTACGAGCTTTCGTGATGTTACAGGCACCTCACCGTATCTCTCCAAGAAGACCCTGTAATCCTCAAAGACCACGATTTTCGTAAAGAGCGTGTTCGAAAACCTCTATAAGCGAAGTTTCCTTACAATTTAACGGCATGAACATTTTGACCAAAATCCATCGGGCAGCTTCAGAGCGTAGAACGAGAAAAAATGAAATTATTCGAACATCTTGGAAAACTTGCTTGTAAAGGTTATCCGACCTGCTGATTACGAAAATCACATCTGCTTAGCAAGAGAGCTTCATATTTTAGAGTTACGTTGAGAAAAATTCAGAGCGACATGATTTTTCCAGAATGCACCAGCCCTTCTAACTCCTATGGAAAGATGCCTGTGACTATTTTTTAGCGCTGCGTAATCTACAGAAAAAGTACTTTCGAAAGGACCTTGCTGGAGTCTACTAGGAGCAATGCTCGCTGCTTTACACCTTCACAAAAAGACGCCTATAGAAAGATTTGAGAATATTAAAATCGGAATATCAAGGATATGCTGTATATCAAAAGATTTGCCTTGATGAATTGAGCACAAAGCTTTCTTCGGATTCAGAATATGTTCATTCCGAAGGAAGTTACGGCGAGTAGAATTTAGAAACGCGTGATTTTTCCAAAATTCACCGACGCTTCTGTCTCTTTTGGGAAACAGTCTGCAGCTACTCTTGAACGCACGATAACTTACAAGGACAGTACTATCAAACAGTGCTTACTGGAATCTTTTATGTTACACAGACGCTGCGTTACATCCTTGCGAAAAGACCTCCACAGAAAAATTCGAAAAAGCTGGAAATGGAATATCGAGAGCATGCTTTAAATCAAAATATTTGCCTCGACGATCTGAACACAGTGCTGCTTCTGGATTCGGAATATATTCATTCCGAATGATGTTATGGCGTTGCGTACTCTGCGTGATTCGCATGGTTTCGCGGATCCTGAAATGTCGCGAACTTCCCGGATTATCGCGCACTTTGGTGGAAATCCCGGAATTCCGCGAAGTTCACGAAATTTTGACATTCTGTGCGCGGTATTGTGATCTTGAGCAGATCTTAGAACAAATTCGATCAGAGTGGCTCTCTACCATACTCTTATAGTATACTGTCTATGCGTCATCAGCGACAGATCAATGGTAATACTGTTATCAGCACACTGAATTCAACCAAAATAATAACCGATGATTCTGAAAACTAATATTGTATTCGGAATCCCCATGCTCGATTACCATTGTGATTGTGCAAACTCCCAGCCCCGTAGCTCAAACTTTGCAAAAAAAAATCGATAAAAGAATCGATAATCCCGAAAACTAATATTGTATTCGGAATCCCCATGCTCGATTACCCCACTATGCAAACTCCCAGCCCCGTAGGTGAACTCTGCAAAAAAATCGATAAAATCGATATCGATCGATGACGAAAAGTAGCCCATGACACTCATCGGGGCCCGAAGTGTATGTGTGCCAAGTTTGGTCCGGATCGGTTCAGAAATAGATTTTTCTATTCGGAACATACGTGCAGACAAACAGACAAACAGACGTTCAGCTTCATATATAAGATGATGCGTCTCGTCGAGCTGAATCGAACGGTGTCCTCGGATTCAGAATTCGTCCATTCTGAAGCGAGATATTTCTAAATTGACGATCATTCCGGCGCACTGCGGCGGAGTGTGCGCACTCTGCCGCACTCCGGCGCACTCTGCCACACTCCGGCGCACTCTGCCACACTCCGGCGCACTCTGCCACACTCCGGCGCACTGTGGCGGAGTGTGGCGGAGTGCGCCGCAGTCCGGCGACTTTTTTGACGAATTATGAGCGGTATTGTAGTAGTCAGCACAGTAGTGAATGGCCCTTATTGGTAACGTAAAGATACATCCTTTTTTCATTCTTATGCCTTTGAGGGTGATATCTTTAGTGCAGAGACTATTCGTTTAAAAAAATATATCGAAAGAAAAAATGTACAATTATTTATTATTTATTTACCTGACAACAGGCGGATACATGCGAAGTGTTTCGGTAATGCAATAATCCAGGAACTCACTAATCATTTCATAGGTGACATCCACCCAGATGAAGCCGCTTGAGCCATGCTAATCGCTTCATATTAAAAACATTTGTGCATGTATGGTCAAATTTTTTGAGCATGACATCTACAGGGGGTTCCAAAAAGATGTGCTTACTGTTTGATGGTTAATAGCTCTCTTGCAATTATTTTGAGAAGTTTTAGGTACTATTTTGTGAAGCTGGTTTTAACTCAGATTTACGCGGTGCGTATCAAAAGTCCTCTTCTGTGGGATTACGGTAGGAACTTTGAGGAGGGTGTTTTGAGTAAATAAGAGGCGTATTTTACTTCTGAAAACAACCAAAGAAGCTGAAAATCTTCGTCGCTGACTCCGAGCATGAAACTCGCACTCCATCGTAAAGCATTTTTTTAAAGTTCGGGTATACCGCAACAATCAATCTCCGCTATTCGTTAAAAACTTGATTAGGCCATTTAAAAAGTTTTATGAAAGCGCAAAAATAGGTGATAAAGTCTGTCATGTTTTCAGATGAATATTACGCTTTAGAATCAATACCATGACGTTTCTGTTTAGTTTCAATCATTGACAGTCCGAGAAGTTCCTCTACGAAGAGAAACCACGCTTTTCGAAATTTTCTGGGTGCTTCCATTTTTTGCGGCTTATAAGTGCGAAATTCAGAAAAAGATGACGCGCTGGCTATTGGTTACTGACATCATTGTAAAGATCCCCAACTACCGTAAACTATTTAAAGATGATCCTTCAAAAAGCATTATGTTGGTTGAAGCAGTTCATTTGAAAAAAAATTTCCTTTTCGTCCGATACTGTAACAACACAAAAAGATCCAGAACTTAGCTCAGTTTTGAGACACTCAAGGCACCAATCACCTTCGAAAGTTCTAGGCAAGGGCTAAAAAACAGAAAAATGGCATATGTGAGTAATTATGAAAAGATAAAAGTTGAGCATAAAAGTCTTCATCTCTCCTCATTCAATGCAAGCAGGGAGGAGACTAAGACCTGGTTCGGACGTATTTTACTTCTTCTTTCAGCAGATAAAGAATGTTCAAGGTTTCTGGTGATGATATGAAAATTTCAACTAGGCTTCTTTTCTTGAATTCAAATTGACATTATTTTTACATATTTTTACAAAATCTGCATATTTTTATGCAAGCATTATCACGACTAGTGAACAAAAATATAATTAAACGATTTTGAAGACATTATACAAACTATTCTTTGCAATAATTTGGCATTGCGTTGAAAATTTCTGATTTGAGGAAACTGCCGAAATTAATATCAAAAGGATTCGAAGGACAGAGAGAAATATCGGAAGAATAATCGGTGTACAATAACGCGAGCACGGCGCGTACATTCCACGAACTCTCACAACTCTCACTCGTCAGTCAGGGCCGAACTGTCTCACCCACTGAATGATACAGATGGTATACGAATATGACAGATTATCTTTGTATCAGCGTATTTGTACATGAACGCACAATTGATAGCCAAAAATTGACTCGACGCACGCCTTTAAATTCTGCTTCTTAATTCCATGGCGCATTGAAGCTTTGACCTCAAGTTACTGCAAATCCATAAAAGTTGTGGTGTCTTGCCTTTATATGGCATTCATCTTGATTGTGTTCACGGTGAATTAGGATCATCTCCACTCATTTGCAAGTCGTTTTCGTCTAGGTCGCTTTTGTGGA